AAGATGACACTGCAGCGCTAGGTAAGCGCTTCTAAGGTGAAGTTCGAATGGACTTGCTTAATTTTGCGCGTAAAAATCGGTGTGATTTTAAATGGCGTCTAAACTTATCGATGCCCAGTAGAAAAAGCCGAATATTATTGCCACAAGTATAATTAGATTCAGATGGTCAGGGCAGATTGTTTACTGCAATTCGAATAGATTCCGGGGGGTGAAGAAATAAATTTAAACTCGTATAAGGTGTGTGTGGTGACGATGATAGATCCAGTGCTATACTTCATCGACGCCGACCTCGATACTTGAGTCCGCTTTACCAATAAGATCGCTTTTCAGTGCCAGCATCAAACCATACAGAGGATGATTTCTAGCTTTAGTGGGACCGTTTTCTAAGAGTTTCTCGTTAATGGTTAGCTGATCAGACCGAAATGTGTACCGATACCTATTATCAGCTATCCGTGTGTGAAAATTTGACTCGTAGGGAAAGAAGGTGCACCTGGCGTGCACCCTTGTGGATATTGGTATTCGTAGCGGTCAGCAAGGTAGAAAACACTTTTATACAAACGTTGTGCCCGTTCACGTCCAGGTGCTTACGCGTCAAATCCGGTACAAGCGGCGAGGAATGGGGATGCACCAAAAACTGGACATAGTACCAGTTTTGAAGTGTGGCATCCGTTCTAGTACACGTTGAGATCGTATGATGCGGCGAGTAGCAAACACTAATCAGAGAACTCGCAGGATGTGACGTAAGCGGCGCAAAGAAAAATCGATACCAGTGCTGGTAAGTGCGCGGCATGCTTCATATTCTTTATGTAACTTTGGGAATCAAAAGTAGCGAAAATACATACAAGTCGTAGACATCGGTGGTCGAAGTTGAGCCCGTAAGATCGATGTAGTTGAAGCATCTTTGCTTGCACGCAATGTGTTTGATCAATAAAGGATTGCGATGTCGTTTTAATACTGCAAATGAGGGTTGGCACTTGATTGTACCATTCACATTCTACTATACGTAGCTGGAGATTCTGGGCAATATTGATAGCCAAATGTCTTCATAGGATAGCCGTAAAGCAATTACCCGAAGCAGTTTGAATAGCCTTATCACTAGTTTACCTGACTCTAATTCACGAATCAGTGGTGGCAAAGGGTGTTTGTGTTGGAAAGAGTGCGGAAAGCTCTGGCGGATGAGATTTTGCACACCACTGAATCACCACCATTACACTTGCCCAATATGAACCTTTATAGCATATTTAGTGACGCTGTTTAGTCAAAAAAAGAGCTTATGGAGACCCTGGATTAGGGTGTAATGGATTCGTAGTTGTAACGGAACCAAAGGTCCGGTACGCTAAAACACATTAAAGGTCTATCGAGGAAGCGCATGATCGCGCGTATAGCAAAAGCGCGAAAAAGGACAACGTCAAATCAGATTTGAATTTATCACATTTATTCTTGGTACGAGTGGTCCCTTGACTCGTAAGAGCCACTTGATGAAAAATCGCATCCGATTATTTCATCATGGATCTGTACTAAGTTTTTAAATGATGAGAATACGACGCGGTGCAACTGCTATAACGAGCGAAACGACTACCCCTTGCGTACAATGTACGCTTTGTACTTCCACTTATGAGATCGCAGATTAAGAGGCCTGTCAGCAATTGTAAGTGCAACCATCCCGTTACAATATTAGTGCAAGTACACCCACAGTCATATGCCTCTCGAATCATGTAACTAGATAGCGGGCCATTTGTGTCGGGGGGGGGGTAACTGCAGCCACGTTCAAGGTCTAGTCTGTAAAATTACTCCTTTGCATATTATTGCAGATGGTGCGATGGTTGTCACCGACTTCTGACTGTACACTCGCCATATAGGTCGCACCTCGCCACAATTTTTCGAAAAGCGCGGGCGCGGCAATATCGGTATTGGTCGCGAGCTGGTCTCACCATTACCAAATTTAGACTCTAACCACATAACAGACTTTTCGGAAAGCGTATACCTCGTAATTGAATTCAGTGTAAGCACTGAACGACCTGGACGTCGCTCGAAAAGCTAAGAAATACGGTCATCATGACGTCCGCCATCGCCGTGGGACATCGCCGGACGTTGACGCCGAGCAAAACGCCCGCAGCATGAAGAATCGAAAAAGGGTACCGTCCATGGCTCCGAAGGATGTTTATAAGCATTGTCTTTTGAGACGTCACACCGTAGGATGCCAAGGGTAGCAAGAACATATAGCTAGACCCCTCTGGTATACCGGTCACTGTTGTTCGTAGGTATACCTCAATATCAGCAGGTACGATAGTCGTTGACCGTCTCGTTTCTTGCTGCTATGGCTCAACAGATTCATTTCTTGTGCTGCCATTTGCAAAGCTCTGTTGGGGTTACGGCACGTTAACAAAACATAAGTGTCTCACCAGCAATGGATGTTATTACTACCGTCAAATAGATACGTAAAGATTAGAAGCTGGCATTCCGGCCATTACGTGCATATATGTCAGATAAGCTGGGACGAATAGTAAAGTATTGCAAAGTAATTCACGGGACCCTCCAATGTTACAAAATGCTAACAGCAATTACAGCGGATCTGTGTTCCAATATGTTCAAGGTCGTACTTTATCGTAGGCTGCTGTAGATTTGCATTCAGTAGTACATTCGGCCAACCAAATTAGCATAAACCTCATGATGCGAGGTGTTAAGGCAGCTCAAACTTTGAATGATAGCTCGACCGGTTCAGTGACCTATTTCCATGCATTCCACTAATATCCCTCTTTATTCAGGTATTGATCTATACTTCTCATCCTTACACATCAGGGTTTCAGGTTGTACTTTATACTGCAGAAAGACCCGAGATAACAATCAGTCCATCTTTGGTAAGGTCTTCGCGTAGACGCACGTGTACAGGAATCACATTAGACCAACGCATACTCCAGGCGAAGTTAAAAAATGTGTCTCGAATATTGCCAAGCTCATCAAGCCTCTAAGTAAACCTTCGTTAGCTATACATAAGTAAGTAAACATGAGTTTTAACTATTCTGCGTACTACCCATTGCGCGCTAATCATTTATCGAACGCTTTGTTGGACAATATGATGACCGAGATGAACTTATATCCAGTAGTTAGTCGCGAGAAATATCCATGATCATTGCTGTAGATGATACAATCTACAGCAATGATCATGCATATTTCTCGCGACTATAATATTCGCATCGACACTTATTTATGTCAGTACCACGTAATGGGCTAACCTCAGTCACAATCGTACAAGTAACCGCCGTCGGATTCTCGAAGACACAAATCTTCTTCCAGTAGATGCTTTCGACTAGTTTTATCCCCTGACACAGCACCCTTCCTGCAAGCAAAGCGCTTTGCCAATGTTGCTCACTCCCTTATATCGTTTGTTGATAGATACGAAGTAGTCGATCCTCTCGCAAATACCCCAAAAGACGACGCTTTCTCTAAGCTTGCCGGGCTTACGATCTCATCCCGTCACCCTATGCTGTTCATGCATGAGGGAGACATAGTTTGATGCATCACATGCTGCGAGCGCTTCCAGCAGGTCTGAGGCTGAAACTGCACACATTCGTCTTCACTGCCAACGTCGCGAAATGTCTAGCAAGTACGATCGATCGCACCCACAAAGACCAGCAGTAAATGCACCAGTTCTTTTTGCGCGGACAAAGCTTATTGCAATAGGAAATGGGTATTCAGCGACTTGTTACTGCAGAATGCGTCAAGCTTTGAGATCGCCAACCAGCTACGTGATGCAACAAGCCACCATCATCGCAATGAGGTAGTGGTAACCGATAGCGGGGATTAATTGGTCAAGTGCCAATGATCCATCGTCAAACGTGCTGAAGTTGATCGTCGTGTACTGGATTGGATTGCTTATTTTTTTTAGTAATGCGGTCAAGAGGAAGACGAAGTCGATTGTCAGGAATACGCGAACAGCAATACAATGATGGGGTCCAATCGGATGCACAGACCTTTGCTATTGACGCAACTGTGCGTGAGAGTGTCGAAAGCCTTGCGACGGATCTGCTGGTGTCATCCGCTGTCAAGTACATCCAGCTTGTATTTTAGTCGATTGACTATGTTTAGACCTTTCTAAATCTCGCTGATCCTACCAGCTCTCAGTCTCAAGAGGTGCCGGCGCACAATTTTGGTCAATCCGCGTGCAGCGCTTCCCGTCATGCAGCGAGCGATGCGTCATCATCTGAACGCCTCGACGTGGCGCGTAAACAGAAGCGCGTTTTTTGCACCACAACGAGTCAGCATAGTAGTAGCTTTCAGTCCTAACGTTAGCGACGCGTTTAGACCGACGAGCTGTAGAAGGCACGTAGGGCGCTCTGACCCCAAAAGCGACGAGCACGTTCTTGATGACACAATTCAACGAGCAAGTCGTACATCTATCGACGGAGGTGGTCGTGGATCATTGACATGCTGCGCGCGGCAGCTGAGATATGTGTATCTGCAGGAGCTCAACGTGCGCCGTATTTGTGTACTTTACGCGACGTTTGTTGCACCGCAATCGCTGGCGCGCGATCCTCTCCCACGCCATACCTAAAAAAAGACCCCGCCTAGAATAACAACAGTAGCAACAACCACACAACAACCAAACCCGCCTCATCAAACGAAATGCAAAAAAGACCCACCCGCTCGCTGACTGCCCTGCCATCCTCGATACAGCTGGATCCCCCCTCGGATCATACTGTATCGGATCTCACAGGTCGCTCTGCCCCACGTGCGTTTATTTTGTGGTGTCGTGGCCTCACTACCCAATCAGCCGACAGACGCTCACCCGCTCCGCCGCTCCGTCCGTCAGAACGCAATTGAGCGAACGAGTCAGACGGCTCCACAGCGCTCGAGCGCGCGCGACAGGGCACTAGAAAACAGCCCACCACCTGCCTCTCTCTCTCTCTCATTTAGCTCCGTCCATCACCGCCACACACATACCCCCCCGTCGTCGTCGTCGGTGCCCGTCTCGACAGCATTGTCCGTTCCGCCACATCATCATGACCCGGTGGCAGAGTCCAGCAGATGTCGCCCCTCCCACCATCACGTCGTTCAAGTATCGACCCGCCGTTGACGCCGACGCCCCTGGCCTCACGTGTCTCGGCGACCACGTGACCACGACGTTCGTGGCCGAGACAGCGCTGCCGACCGAGAGCGGGACGTTCCGCGTCCGCGCTTACCGCTCGATCGGCTCGTTGCGGGAGAGCGAACCCATTGCAATGGTGTCGGGCGACGTGCGTGGCCAACGCAATGTGCTCGTGCGCGTGCACGACCAGTGCTTCACGTCGGAGGTGTTTGGCTCGCTGAAGTGCGACTGCAAAGAGCAGTTGGACTATGCTAAGGCGTACACAAAGAAGCACGGGGGCGTCGTCATTTACATGCCTCAAGAAGGACGGGGCATTGGCCTTGCGAACAAGATCATGGCGTACTCGGTGCAAGAGCAAGGACTGGACACTGTGGATGCGAACCGCGTGCTTGGGTTCAAAGACGACTACCGCTCGTACGAGCCCGTGCCGGCTATCTTGAAAGACCTGGGAATTCAGTCGGTCTGTCTGTTGACGAACAACCCGCGGAAGATTCGACTCTTGAGCCAATTGGGCGTGACGATTGAGGGGAGACAACCCGTTGTGATGAAAGGCGGGGAGTTCAGTCAGGGGTACTTGACGGCCAAAGCGAAGCGAATGGCGCACTTATTGCCCGGTGCACCAGGCGAAGACGGCAGTGGGGACGACACGTTTACGGACGAGAGTCAGGATGAAGAGGAGGTGCAGAGTAATCCGCAAAATGAAGCTGTGGTCGCTTTATCTCCGACGGCGTCGTCTACGTCATCTCCTGGAACCTGCAAGACTGGGTTTTAACAGCTGCTCGGACTCGAAGTTCATCATCATCGTATCAGCAGGTGCTGTGTCGACGGAACCGAAGCATGCTGGGGACCGATGGCGGCATACCACGATGCATCGTGCCGTCGTCTACGTGGAGCCCTGAGCTGTCGCCGGTTGTAGTCAACTAGGGGAGCCAGTCTACGTCGGCAGCACGTTCGTCGGTTGCCCTGGTCCGCCTTTTGCTTCAGTTTGTGAGTGGCCATTTTGTAGAAGTTTGAAGCAGATGGGCGGCATTTTTGAAGTAGAACCGCTCCGAGCGTCAGGGAAGGAGGGGTTGTAGAGTAGATATCCATTGAATGGTATACACGCGTCAAGGGCTCTATTGCGTCCTGACAGTGCGTGTGAGGTGACTACATGCCGATCACTGTCAGGCGACGACGAACACATTGCACTCAGGTCGATACGATCAACACGGACGAGTGCGCCGAGCGAATAAATGACTACCACACGAACGTATTCGAGGTGATACGATGCAAGCGCGCTTGACCAATGAAACCCTCTGGTGAATGATAATGTCCTGTGAGGGAGGGCCTACAACGCGACGTCCAGATTCGCATTTGGTAGTTTCGTAAAACGACATGAACATTCCGGATACGAGCAAAGGATGTGACCGAATGAGGTTGTGACTTTTGTTTTTTTTGCTCTACATAGCGTAGCATATTTGCTGCTCATCTTACAAGCACGAAAGAGTCGGTGCGGGTTCGTAGAAGTATACCAGTGACGTGCATGCCGATACGTGGTGCCGAGATACTTCTACGCAAAGAGGTTCACAGGACATTCCCAAAGTGCTTCAAGGAAGTCAAGAGCTTGGCACGTGTCCACAAGTGACTCGATAAAAAGACCAAGCGACCTGACGATATCAATTCCAACAAGCAATCTACGAGTCAAGTTTGCGGTCCATCGTTGCGCTCTTTATAATAGATGCAGCAGCCCGCGGGTGTTACACAAGAAGACCTGCCACATCATTGCTGTCATTGCTGCATCACGGCTGTCATCCCTTACGCGAAACCACACGAGCTCAAGCATAACGTCCACAAGCTCAACGCTTCTACAGCACCCGTCCACCTTCGTTCAACGTTCGCTCGTCACGTCTTCAGCTGCGTGTTGTGCGTCCTGCTTCCATCTCACTCACACCTGATATCCACGCTTTTGCACGCCTGCTAGTCGGTCCACAACCTGACTGACCACTGGAAGACTCAGGACGTTTCCAATCACGGGCGTCTGCCGCAGAAAAGCCACTGCCACTGGAAAGAACGACCCAAACAGGTTCAAAAAGCCAAAGCTCTGCAGAATCATGCCGATCACCGGGTACCGTAGCATGACCAGCAGAATACCGCCCAGGAAGCACACAATGCCACGCCATCGCTCTTTGCGCGTAAAGAAGCGCACGGTCCGCGACAGACCAATCGTGAGCGCCACGCCGCTCAGAAACAACACGTCGCCAAGTGCCAACATGGCTGCATCAAAGATCATGAGCACACCCAGTAGTAAGAAGGCAAAGCCGAGACCCAGCAGCAAAGTGCCGATCTTGCGGTTGTCGTCCAGCATCGAGTCTAGAGGTCTGCCACTCTAAGCGACTGCTTTCGCCCAAGGAACACAGCACTTAGCGAATGGTCGTGAGGATCTCCTGTTGTACAAAGCGGAGCAGACACAGACACAGCGCAGTTGTGCTGGACCCAGTGGAAACCTCGTGCCACGACGTGCGTCGGAGCTCGTCGAAACTGCGCCGGCCGGAGGGAGGAGGAATACCGCTCGTGAAAAAGTGTCGTGATTCCGAGGGCACTATCTGTGCTGGCGTCGCGGGATTGGACGAAAGAAGAGTGCACGGAAAAGCGGACACATGCGACCAAAATGGCACAGCCGATTTGACCAAATGGCAATTGCGTGCCACAGATTTGCCGATAGAATGCAAAGTCGTGTCCTTTGTGCTCGGCATCAATAGGGTGACACGAGTCGCTTTGGCTTTTTTCACTAGACATGCAATGCTCCCACACAACGTGTCCGAGCGAAATCAATCGACTTGTAGAACAGCAGATGACTTGGTAGTTCACACTTTTGTGCACGATACCATTTTTGGACGCAAGCGTCCCACTTTTCTTCATTTATCCTATCTCAGGAACAACAAGAGCTAAATTTATGATGCGCAATGGAAAGTGCCCGATTGATCATTATCAAACCTCAGTAGCCCCACATGCATTTGGTCTCACCAATAGCTCGACACAAATCTACCGCACCATCTGTCCTACTTTTTAGGATCACAAATCCCAGCTCTCTCGCACTTTTTCCACCAATCACACTCGTTTGCATTTCACTCCACGCTCGACTCGACGTCATGCCCATCAGCTTCTTCAGCTCTGTACGCGCTCGCGTGGCCGCTGTGGACTCGCTCCTGTGCGTGGGTCTGGACCCGCACATTGCAGAGCTACCGGATGCAACAGCCGCTGCTGCTCTGTCTTTTTGTTTGCGTCTCATCGAAGAGACGCAGCACGTAGCAGCGGCTTTTAAGCCCAATTCGGCCTTCTTTGAGGCTTTGGGGGCTGAGGGCATCACTGCATTGCATACTGTGATCAAGTCGATTCCCAATGGCATTCCCGTGATTCTGGACGCCAAGCGCGGAGACATTAGCACCACCGCAGCTGCTTACGCCGTCTCGGCCTTTGACAAGCTCGAGGCGCACGCCGTCACGTTGGCTCCGTACATGGGTCAGGACTCGATTGATCCTTTTGTCAAAGGACGTCCCGATCGTGGCTGCTTTGTGCTCTGCAAGACGTCCAATGCCAGCGCCAATGACTTTCAGACGCTGTCGGTTGGCGCACGCGCGCTGTTTGAAGAAGTGGCAGTCAAGTGCGAGCGCTGGAACGTCGAAGACAATGTTGGCCTCGTGGTGGGCGCTACTGACGCCGATGCTCTGCGTCGCGTACGTGCCTTGACGCCTGATTTATGGATCCTGGCTCCGGGAATAGGTGCACAGGGTGGCGACTTGGAAGAAGCAGTGATGGCTGGTTTATCTGCGTCTGGACTTGGTCTGTTGGTGCCTGTTTCGCGTGGTATTTCCAAAGCCGCAGACCCGAAACAAGCTGCCGAGTCCCTGCGTGATGCCATCAATGCTGTCCGCAAGGTGAAGGTGGCAGCAACGCCTGCTCCGTCGGTCGTGGTCAATACGAGTGCCAACGAGTTTATCAAGTTCGCGCTGTCTTTTGGCGTGCTGAAATTTGGCGAGTTTACGCTGAAGTCGGGACGGCAGAGTCCGTACTTTTTCAATGCCGGTCTGTTCCGCACGGGTTGCGCGCTTGGCAAGCTCGGCAGGTTTTACGCCCAGGCCATTCATGTACGTACACCTGAGGCAGTCAGCTGCTACGTGTACTGCCGGTGACATTGCTGTGTGTTTGTGTCTATCGCTGCTTCATGCTTCGTCCACAGAACAGCGGTGTAGAGTTCGACGTGCTGTTTGGCCCCGCCTACAAGGGCATTACGCTTGCAGCTACCGTGGCCATCGCGTACGCTGATATGTACGGTGTCGACATCCCCTTTGCGTACAACCGCAAAGAAGCCAAAGACCATGGCGAAGGCGGCGTGCTGGTTGGTGCCGACATGACCGGCAAGAGGTTCGTCATGAGTGGTGTGGTGCAATCATTGGCGTATGAGAATAACGGCCTTTCGTTTGTTCGTGTGTGCCATGTGTTTGCCAGGGTGCTGATCGTCGACGACGTCATCACTGCCGGGACTGCGATCCGTGAGGCTTTTGACATCTTGTCGAAAACCAACGCGCAGGTCGCTGGCGTATGCATCTCGTTGGACCGTCAGGAGAGAGTGTCGGTCGAAGACACGCGATCGGCCATTGACCACGTGAAGGCGAGTTTCGGCATTCCCGTTGTAAGTATCGCGACGCTGGACACGCTCGTCGCTTTCCTCGAAAACGCAGACCCGGCAACGGATTGCAACGCCCCGTACCTACCGATCATCCGCGCCTACCGTGCCGACTATGGCGTGTCGACGCAGTAGTACCAGCTTGCTCGCATGACGACAGACCACAGGAACAGCTGCTAGTTACCCGGGCAAAACATGCAACTGTGACCTAAATAGATGGGACAACGGCTGAAGCCATGCTGCGTCACGTACTCTTTCATTTCCACGAATCAGAGCTGCGAAAGCGACTCTTTTCCACGAATCAAAGCCCGACAAGCGCTCGCCCAATCAATCGTCAAGGGCTCCGCTACGTACCAGTCACCACCCGCCGTGCCGCATGTTCCAGCGCCGAGTGCTCGTGAGCGTCCACGCGATTGAGCGCGTGGCAAGCAACCGCCAGATCCGGCGCAAGACCCGTCATCCTGCTAATCTACGTGCTCTGCAGCGCCAGCCGCAGGACAAAGTGGTGGTGCCTCCGCTGAAGTACGAGCCTACGTATGTCCCGGAGACCGTGAGCTTCAATGGCTGGTCACCGGCTCCAGCATCGCCTCTGCCGGATCTTCCGTTCCACGTCAAGCGCACAGCACTTGGACTGCAGCTGCCAGTGTACAGGGACTACCGAAACGGTCGCACGCGGGTGCTGACCATTTTGCGTCGCTACAAGGGCGACGAGCAGGAGCTGCGGGATGAGATGTCCAAGGTCTGTGAAGGCAAACAAGTGATTGCACGCCCAGGTCGCTTGGAAGTTGTTGGCGACCACGCGGTCGATGTGCGCAAGTGGCTGGTAGGCCTGGGCTTTTAGTCGGACGCTCGCGTGTGGCCAGGAACGAGCAGACGGACGAGGGGTTGGAGAGAGAGAGAGAGAGAGAGAGAGAGAGGAGCTCTTGAACGTAGATGAGTCTCACGCTGGGTTGGCGTGTTCATTTGTATCGGAACAAGAGGTTGGCGCCGTGTGGTTGAACCAGACAATGCGGCAATTGTTTTTCTGTTCTTCTTCTTCTTCTTCATCTCGATTTGATACAGCGTTGCTTGATCTTGGTCTGTACTGCTTCATGACCACTACAGAGAGTGCATGCCGTAGACGTCGGCCACGACGTTATTGAGAATGTCCGAGACACTGACGTCGGAACACGCGACAAGGATCAAGTCCTTCTCGATTGGGAGGAAGTACGGAAACGTCGCGCGATTCATCGAGATGTTGCACAGCGTGGCGACTGTGATCCGAGCGGCTTCTGGCTGTATCGCGACAAAGCATACACACGCGAGAGAGGTTAGTGACGGATGGACCACTCATCCTTGACATGGTCGGACGGGCTTTGTTGCACGTACCCTTCCGATACACGACAGAAGCGAACCTGCAAGTCGCCGCATACACATCCGGTGCTGTGCCATTCGAAGCTTCGTAGCGTCGTCATGGTCAGAAAAGCGAAAAAGCACTTCTAACGCAGCATCACGCATTTCGTGATCGAGCTGATCGTCGCCAAACGCCATCGATTGTGCCGCGTGGGCACCACTGACGTGAGACGATGACGAAGTGTTCCGAACACCCTCTGGACTCACGTGTACGATGCCCATGCCAATACCCGACGGCAGCCCGTCGTTCTCCCATGGCGCCGGCCACCTGCTGTTGTCGTCCCTGTCAGTCTCGTCAGAGTCACCGTCGTCAGAGTCTTCAGCATCCATGTCGTAGTCTGCTTCCGTCGGAAACGCGTGAGCTTGCTGCAGCTGTTGTTTTTGATGCTTCGACCCACGGGGGAGAAACTCGTGCCTCGAGCACCCCAGCAATGCTACCACGCGATCGAGTAACGCAGGATCTTGGAGAGCTTGACTCGCGGACAGGTATTTCTTGATGGCTACGTCGCGGCACACGTTGGTAAGCAGTTCGCACGCACGGAGCACTACTGACCGACGCTGCTGCTTCAGATCGCGGTCGACCAGAATGCGACGTAGCTCGCGAAGCAGACACTCGAGCGGAAGAATGCGTTCTTTTTTCCACAGCTGCGAACTCAACTGGTACTGCGGGTGCCAAATCTCAAGCGTAGCGGGTGGATGCAAAGCAAGAAAGTCAATACGCTTTGCAATGGCGCACAATGTATCCAAGACATGGTCGCCAATCTCCACAGCTGCACGGGATCGTCCACTACGGCAATTTCGCGCGTCGCTATTGTTTACGTAACGCAACGCCATAATGTAGAACATGCACAACTCATCGTGCGCAGCAATCGGCTTTTCATTTGCGCCAACGACCGCCAAGTTGCGCAGAATGTTCAGTACCATCAACGCTGTCGAGTCTAGCAATTCACGCTCGCCGTCGCCAACCGTCAAGTTCAGCAATCTCCTTCGCATCACCAGGTCCTGCTCCACCTCTTTTTCATCCGGTAGCAGTTTGCACGTCACTAATTGACGATACAGTGCATCCAGCAATCCCGGAACGTTGTCCACCACCAACTCGTTTTCATTGGCTGTAGCGTTTGCATTCGCTACGGCCGCGGAGACCGTCCCACCAGCACCGCCTGACTCGCCTCCGAATGACAAAATGGTCAGTAAATTCAGCGCCGACATCACCTGTTCCGGAATCTCAGAGTCCAGAGCCAGCACGATACTGTGCAGCGTGCCAAGATGTGTCTGCAGCTCTCGCTGCGCCTTGAACCTCTTGTTCGCTCGTGGCAGCGGAGTCCCGCCCATGCCGCCTTGAGCATCCTGCAGATCTTGCATCGTCGCAATTGGAGCCTCGTCGTCGTCATTAATGTCATTGACACTGCTCTGTTGCTGAAAAGATCGTCGCTTGCCGGGCAGTACGCTCGTCGTCGTCGTCGTATTCCTCGGGAGATCGCGTCCAAAGAGCTGCTTTTCCTCCAAAGCACGCAGAAAGCGCTCGTAATAAGCTGCTAATTGATAAGGCAGTAGCCCCTTTATGTTCAAGCCAGTAGGGCCGAGAATCTCTGCCCATTGTTGATGCTGCGACACAAGCGTAAAGCCTCCACGAGCCACAACTTCTTCGTACAATTTCAGCCAATCAATCGCAGCTCCTGACGGGCTTTTCGGTAGCTGATGAAACAGTGACGTCTCGTTGCGTTCGTCTGCGAGCTTCACCCAGTCACGGACGAGGCACTCGCGCGCAGCATCGCCTCGACAACTGAGCTGAAGAGCCAAGAGTGTCTCCTTGGCTGTCATGCTGCGTGCCAACGAGGTTTTGTGCAATGCCAGTAGCGTGATTGGATGAAACGCGTGCTACTGCATTCGGATTGGATGAAACCGATACCGCGGCATGATTCGTTGAAAAGCGCATCCACGTTGAAGAGGTCCGTCCTTGTCCCGACTTGCAGAGCTCGTCGCAGTCGCTGAAGAAGAAGACGGAGAAGGAGCAAAAGAAAGGACGTGGCACGAGAATACAACATGAACGAGCGTAGCGATGTAGCGGCCATGTTTAGCTCCAAGCATTCCGTGCGTATCTTGCACGGCCATTGCAGCAGCGTCGATAGTGTAGTCGACGACTCGGAAGTACGGACGCTGCCCGATGTTGAAGTTGGTACAGCTGGTCTCAGTGCCCCAACGGCTTTTCTTCATCCAGACGCAGCTGTTAAAGAGCGAACCGAGTCTGTGAAAGCTCGGTTGAGTCTAGAAGATGTGAAGCAGCAGCTGCAAGAGCTCGAGCACGCTCCAGCACCGACGAAGGAAGAGATTCAAGAGATGGTGGCTCAGTATGCCGAAAACGCTGAGAGCAGTGATTACGAAGACAGCGTCGAGTCTTCTTCGTCTTCGTCTAGTGACAGTGATTGCGACAGTGAGCCGGCAAGAGTGATTATGAAGGTGCTGGTCGTGGGCAACGCTCGCTGTGGAAAGACCAGCACCATTCGACGGTTCAATCAGGACGAGTTTAGTGAGACGTACGTAAGTACCATTGGGGCAGACTTCGTGGAGAAGATTGTCAAGTATGATGAGCGGCTTACGATCAGCTTGCAGCTCTGGGACATTGCGGGTCAAGATCGCTTTGCCAAGTTTACGCGTGGATATTTTCGTGAAGCAAAAGGAGCGGTCATTGTGTGTGACATCACTCGAGCCAATACGATCGATGCCGTGGTGAATTGGAAGCGTGAGATCGACAGATGCTGTAAGCACCTGAAAAACGGCGCGGAGATGCCTGTGGTAATGATTGCCAACAAGAGCGACTTGCTGGTCGACCCCATGGGCGCGCTTGATCTTGGTGTGAACTTGCAAAAGTGCGTGGAAAAGAACAATATCGTCGAGTGGTTCCGTGCTTCCGCCAAGAGCGGTGAGCACATTAACGATGCGTTTCAATGCCTGATAAATTGCATGGTGAATGATCTTCGCGCACAAAAGGAAGAGGCCAAGAACTCTGTCGACGAAAGCACCGTGAAGATGGAGGAACCTGCTGCACCTGAGGTCATTCGGCTGTCTCAGACGCCGCGGCAGTACAGAGCCGTGAAGCAGAAAGGCTTTGCCTGTGACTGTCATTAGAGACTCGTTAGCGCTCACCGATTGTGCGACTTGTTGACGTTATTGCGACCAAGGCAAAAGCGACTGGCAGAAACTCGACAAAGGACCTCGTGGTTCCAACTAATTTTTATTCCTCAGCAACCCAATACACGCCATTCAAATGAATTCAATCACCGCGTGTCCGCCATCGCAGTCCACTCCACATTGCATCTCCGTTCTATGCCATCACCTTCACGATGCGCCTCAAGCCACTACGGCCGCGGACGTTTGCGTCGTACCTCGGCAGCCAACGTAGCCGTACTGTGTAGTATTTCCTTGCCTTCAGACGGACGCTCAATGAAGTACGGATCCAAGTCCACGGCAAATCGGCGAATTTTTTGAGATGCCTCGTCAATCTTCTCGTCCGTCGTAAGCGCAAATATCTCCACGAGCAGCGCTTCAACGCGCAGGTTTTCCAGATCCACCAAGCGGTATTCGTCCTTCACGTCCTCATTTTCCAGCTAAGCGCGTACAAAGACGATAGTTATTACCTGAGAACAGAGGCCGTTTGGTCGTGTGAGGTACATTACCGCCTTCATCCGCGTAGCTTCAATCGTAATGCCATTGCAAAATTGCCACCTTGTCCCAAGACGCATGTACCTGTAGCTATGCCTACCATAAGCGACAGTCACACAGTCACAATCACATCGGAAAAGACGCCAGTGGGGCAAGTCGCTTCTTCCAGTCTTACCGGAAGCCAAGCGTGCCCAGAAACGAGCGAACGTTTTGCCCGACCGACACGGCAATTTGACTGCGAAACGGGACACCCAGCGGTGCACTGCCAACGTGCTCCGACATTTTCTTGCGTTCCCATCGTCCAATGTACCTCAGTTCCCTTCAAGACTCACAAGAGAACCCTCCCATTTAGTCAACGAGAGTTCGAATACCACACTGATCAGGACAACAAAGTCTGCTCCACGCACCACTTTTGTCCGCCATCGGACGGCATTTCAACTGCTTGACCTTGAAACGTCGTGGACCCCGAGAACACATGACGCGCACGAATTTCGTAGTGCGGTACGCCCTGGATATACTGCGGACACTTGTCGTCAAAGTTGTACACGTACTCTTTGTACGCGATATCTTCCTGCAAGCGCAAAAGACATACATGTACACAATCGCAAGCGAGTGACGACTATTGTTTCCACACATCATACTTGCAGCAGCATTTCGTGGCTTCATCACCTTCACAACGCTCTCGTCACATAGTCCTCCGAGGCGCTCGAGGAAAGAGGGAAAGTGTTGGAAGTTCTAGTACCAAACAAGTGAGTTACAGGGTACCAAGCGACACAGAGACAGAACGCATACACACACAGATAGCCCAAATCGGATCGAGTTGAGCCAAATGAGTCTTCTTTGTATCTATCACTCTCCGCGAGGACGTACCACTTCGCCCTGCAAAATGCACTCGAAGCACTTGCCAGCTCTCGCGGACATTTTGCTTTTTGTCGTTTAAACGGTTTTATACGTGTCTCGAATGCGAGTGACTCCCATGAGCCGCTCTTGATTGGCTGAAACCCAGCACCACGACAAGGTCGACGGTACTGTCCATAAACTTTAAAGAACCCTCGCAAGGCCATACATACAAATTGTACGATGGTGTGGAATCGCGTCAAGTTCCCGAACATGGCCATCACGTTCATGGGCAAGAACGCGCGCACGCGACTGCGCGACAACCAGTACGTTTTCCGCGTGGAGCCGCACTATACAAAGCACGAGATTAAAGAGTACCTCACGAAGGTGTACGATCTGCCCGTGACGAAGGTCAACACGATGAACTATGAAGGTACGTGTATACCTCGATATGTATACACGCACGTGTATACTCGTGGCAGTCTGCCCCCCTCCGCTCTAAGCTGTTTGATCCTAATGGTAACAGGCAAGTTCAAGCGCGCGTTTCGAGGTCGCTATGTATACAAGGAGAAAGACTGGAAGAAGGCCATTGTGACTGTGAAGGAGTAACTGGAACGCGTACTTGCGAAGCAGCAGATTGAGCTGCGCCATCGGTTGGCGGGTTTGTCGGTTGACTGGGACAATGGGAGACGAGGCAGTATAGAGCAACGAAGGCCACCTACCACACCGGTACGGTCACGATTACACAGATGCCGTATACATACATAGCAGTTTGTCGCCTCCGTAACAGTTCAATGCCTGGTGTACTAGTTGTACTGGAACTCTCTTTAGAAGTTACGCTGCTCGGTGTCAACCCTACCAATCACCGCCACAGACAATGCCCGCTACAGCTTCGCACTTCGACGCAACCAGCACTTGCAGCAAAACTATATCTTCCAGCACCTCTCGCGTCTTGTCACTCGTCGACACTGCAGGTCGCCGACGTCGCCAGTCTTTCTTAATCTTGCTGGCTAACGTCCTCGAAGTTGTCGACAAGGTCCGGTACTTCGTCATCGTCGTCATCGTCTGCAGCAGCAGCCGACGCAGCCTTCGCCGCCTTCTGAGCAGCTGTGTACGACTCGGCAATCTGCTTCAAGTTGGCGAGGTTGTCCGGGCCAAGCTGACTGATAATGCCTGGCAGCAGCTCCTGCAGCGACTTGGTCTGGTTGTATCCACTCACAGCGAACGTGTTGGAAGCGATCGACGCTTGCACCTTGGGCGCTTGAAAGTGAATGACCTGACCGTCGGCTTTAAAGAGGTTGACCTCTTCGACGCCGGGAATGGGCGTCACGCCCAGCTTCTTCAGCGCCGCCCCGAGCTTCGTGTCGTCGACCGAGACCGTCTTGTGCGCGACTTTGCGCTTTCGGCGCACACTGCCTTTGCCGCCCGTGCGGACGTCGCCAAACTTGGCCGCAAGGCGTTCACGCGCGAGAGTAATAGCGTCCGCCATCGTTCTTTACATGACCACAGAGCACGGTTGCAAGTCAGTCGAGCACACCACCAACACCAACATTACCATCATCTGTAGAAGTCCGCGGCTCAAATTGGCAGTGGTGCATATGCAGGGGCCGGGACGGCACTGAGTAGCCACCGTAGACACGGGGCACACAAGTTGAGCTGAGCAGTGTGCACAGCCCCTACATATCCAGTATACATAGAGAGACAGAGCGGAATAGAAGACATACACGCACCGTTGCAGCTGGAAACTCGAGCAAGTTAGTAGACCAGGCAAAAATGATGATAGCAGTGGCGCCCGCTGGCTGGAGGTGTGCGGTTGCTAATTCGTCGTCCAAATCGGAGTCGGAGGTGCGGTACACTTGCGATTTGTAAGCCGCAACCCGTCGACATGCAGCCTGCTTTTACGGGTACTGTTCAGCCGCTCTCCACCAATGAATAAATCCACGTCCTACGAGTGGTTAAAACAGCAATTTGCTGTCTGCCAATCCGCGACGAGCTCTGTCACACTGTCAGAAATGATCATTTGTGCGTATCGTGTTTCACGTTTTGTAGACGCCCGACACGATGAACCAGGACGACTTCCGGCAGATGCTGGCGAGCCGCACGCCACCTCGCAGCAGACAGGGCAATGGAGCGAAGCGCAACTTTACAGAGACGGAACTGCAGGACGTGAAGAAGCTGATGGCGAAGAAAGGCAAGAAAAAGAGTAAGAAGTCGACGACTGCTGCGCTGCCAAGTGGAGTCGAGGGCAAGTCGACAGGGCGATCGACATTGTATCGAGATCGAGCGGCCGAGCGACGTACAGGCAGCGCGGGAGACATGATCGACGCCGAAGCGTATAAGCATGTTGACGTTGACGAGAGCAAGTTCTTGGGTGGAGATATGGAGCACACACACTTGGTGAAAGGCTTGGACTATGCCCTCTTGGCTCAATTAAGGCGGGAGAAGCAGAAGCTACAGGCTGAAAAGATACAGCAGGTACAGAGTAGGGGGTCTGTTGTTGCTAAAGAGGGCGCGGCACCAAAATCTCGTGATGGCACACCCACGTTCAAGACACGGATGGGGAGAATGGTGTACTTTTATGCATGTCAGAGCACACCAGCGACCGGTGCACCCGTAAATTCAGACTTGTTTTTACCGGGAAGAATGTACTACACGTTTCCTCTGTCATCGGCGGCGGATAGTGCGAGTGTTCCGGTGAGTGTGCAGAGAAGCAAAGAAGACTGCCCGGAGCCAGATGACATGGTGAGCGATTTCGTTGACGAGTTGCTGATTGAACGAGTGAAGCAAGTGATGACCAATCGGAAGCAAGGCAACAAGATGCGAAAGAAAAAGAGAAATGCGGACGGAACTGGCGATTGCGAAGAAGAGGTGACTGGTGGTGCATGTGCTGGTAATAAAGAGGGTGTTGTGGAGGATGCAATTGCGGAAAATGGAGCTGCAACTACCGTCGACGATGACGAAGATATCTTTCCCGATGTGGGCGAGCATGTTCCGATCGACCAGCGGATTGACAATCAATCGGCTGCATTATCCAACAAAGAGGCGACAGGGACAGTAGGATACTTTGAGAACCTGAGTGCGTCTATCACTGAAAAGGAGCGAGTAGCTCGAAAGAAAGAGGAGGACGCAGAGCGGTTGTGGAAGGAGACGTTGCAGAAAGCGGTGGAAGCCCAAAAGAAGGTCGAGCAAGAGCGGGCGAAGAGACAGAAGGAGGCCAAGATGACTGGCGGAGCGAACGACTACGCAGAGTATCAGGATGTTGGTGTGCTGGAAGACAGCGACGAAGAGGATGACGAAGAGACTTCCAGACGTCGTAAGGCAGCAGGGCTAAGTGGCAATACCGTTGACGCTGATAGGAAGAAGAACGCTCACCGGAAGCAACAGAAGCAGAGCAGCAAGCTTGCAAACGATCTCGAGAAGATTAACGAGGTAAGGAAAGCTGCACGCTCATTCAAAGCAAATGTTGCTAACATGATCGGTTGTTTTCGTCACCAGATAATGAAGGAAAAATCGCAGGCGTGATGCAACGACTTTGACGCACTGCGCTACTTGCGACGTGAAGACTGTCAAAAAAGTCGTGTCTTCTGGCACTGCTTCAAGCTATATCGGCAGCTGCACTACGAAGCGAGTGTTGCAAAGAGCTTGGACTGGACGTCGTTACCCTGCTCGACATCTTATCGTTTGGCGTGGCTGCTCGTCATCATGTGGCCATATAGCGCTCACGCACTTATTGTGTAGGAGCTTCTGGGATACCGTTGTTGGTTGTGTTTTTTCACACTAGGGATTTGATTGGACCTATTTCCATGCCCGCGGGGTGCAGAGTGCGACTTACAAAGTCAAGGCTGCCCGAGCCATGCTGAATGACGGTACCTTGCGATCCACGAGCAAGATGTGACAGGCAGCACTCAAGCCTGGGTATGTGTAAAGTCTTATTGACACTCATAAGTGTCATAGTTGCTGCGATGGTATCGTGATTGTCTAGAGTGCTTGTGTAATCAGAAGCTTGGTGCGTGTTGTAGTTTGCTCGATCTTGTCGCGAATGTTTGTGCTTTTCCATTCGGCCATCGTGTGTTTGTACCAGACTTTACTCAGCAGTAGATGTGAAGGAAGCACATCACAACAAGTTGTACGTACCAACTTTACACGTAGGAACTGCTCCAATTCGCGTGCTTGAAACTTGTCTCTTACATGCGTAAGCAGAAATGCACAGGATAAAGACAGTAGCGTCAAGCAGTGCTGAAACCGACAAAACGCGCGGTCGGCAGAGACTCTTGTCGCAGTGTGCAATGTACGAAAGATCGTAAATCAATTGACGTCTCGTGAAGCAAACTTGGTAAGGTCATAAGTATGAGTTTAGGTGTCACAAGCCACGCGTCTGTCAAAGCAAGAAAACGTGTTCGGTGATATCGATTGCAGATGACCGTATGCGTATGCAGTTGAAGTGTCGACCGAGAAGCATTCTTATCGACGACTTCGTGCCACGTGCTGAAACAGAAACCATCCTTCCGTCCACAATGACCGAAAGGACACCGCTATATTCATGAGCTGATGTTCTCATTCGCTGACGCGAAATCAGCAATATAAAACTGCATCAATCGGTTCTGTTTTCACAATCGTGTACCTACGGCAACCCATTATGGAAACTGAGATGTAGGATGGAGAATGTGCTTCAGAATGCACTCGAGTCAGATTGCAGTCGGGCTTCGTGTAGACAGTTTCAGAAGCTACGCAGTAAGCACAATCGTTATCTCGCCGACCCGTAATGAGTCACATGCGGCGTCTACTTTGGCAGACACTTTGTAGATGGAATACAGCTCGTAGGTGTGTGTTGCGGTCAAAGTCCGATCAAGCGCGTTTCGGTCACGGCATCGACGAATTTGCCAGAGCAATCGGGATGCAGGACTTCATTCCTAGACCACTATAGCGAGTTTGCTGTTGCGTTAGAGCGCGGGAGACCGATGCAGTTATGCATCCCATACATCCCGAGGTATCATCGAACAGTAGTTGCAGCGAATGTAAGCTTGCTCAGCATTTCTCTATGTCAACGCTTCTTAACAGGTGCTTACCGTCTTCCGGCGATTCCCGTGCTGAGAAACCTCGTTTGCTTCCCTTATTCATGTTTGTGTCGGTCTAGAGCAAGCGCTTCGTACGACAATCTATTCACGTACGAGAGGTCGTATTGCCTGCTATCGCGAAGTTTAGTGTTGCTCAGAAACGAATGAGTCGTGGCGGAAAAGGTATGAACCGCATGATAATCTTGAGATCGCATGATGCGTCGAACCGGCACGCAAGTAAATGTCTCCCGTCACTGCAATCGAAGTAGATGCATAGTGCAGATCCGAAGTCCGCACGCGAGCAAGCATGAAACTGGACATGAACTGCCGCGGCAAAATGCCCCTCATATTCCAGACGAGGTCACTTGTGCCGCGCACCCCTCCCTGTGTCAGTCATGCATCTAGAGTAATACTTGAACCTATTGCGTCATGCGTTGACAGAGTGCTTCTATCTGTCTGACCATCTCGACAATCAAGACCCATTCAATGCAATCCAGAAGGGTGAACACCGTGCGCGACTGGAGAGCAAAAGGCAACAGCTATATTGCATCTACTTCTCTCTCACGACACTCTTTGTGTTGCACGAGTCCACTTTTGCCAGTACTCATCTCAGCTACACCGCTACAAGTACTCAGCCACGTGGCCGTCAGTGTGTGATGTCTAGTTTGCTGTTCCCCGCAACCTTGTTACTTGCTGCCAGCCTGGTACGCAGCGATCTTTGGGTCCGCCGCAACGTTCTTGAGGAGAGCCTCCAGCTTCGGGAGCGCGGACATATCGAATGTCGGGGTCAACACCTTGACACAGTTTTCGACAAAGTCAAAGAGCTGCACGTCCGCGAACGACATGGAGTCGCCAGTGAGGAACTTTCCCTCCACGAGGTTTTCCGCGACGGTGAGGACCTTGGGCACCTTTTCCTCAAGGAACGCGGTCCTTTTCTTGGCCTTCTCGTCTGCATCAGGGGTAAAGATCGTGAATTCGATGAACGGAGCGGTCAGCTCATTCAGCGAGTACGACACCGCATCAGCCTTGAGGGCCTTTACTGGGTCGCTGGGGTACAGTCGAGCTCGCTTGGCCGCGTACCGCATGATCGCCATACTCTGAGGGTAGACAGCGCCGTCTATTTCCAGCAGAGGCACTTGGCCCAATGGGAGCTTTGACTTCATTGCTCCGAAGTCGGCGTGCGAAAGACGCTCGTCCACAAAGGCAACGTCGCCATAGTGGAACAGCATACGGCTTACCTCCGCACGGGCTTTCATGTCAAAGTAGGTGAGCTTCAGGTGTGGGGCCATGGTGAATCGGTCGAGGAGGTGTGACTGTTGTTCGGGAAGTTTGGAAATGAGCAAAGATCGAGGACGGCTCGGGACTCGATGTGGGCGTCATAAATCATTTCCAAGCAGTCGTTGTTGGGGGGCGTAGGGAGTTCGTCTTCGCCGCAATCTTTGGATCCCTGATTTGTAATCGCACGCACGCCTTCTGCACTGTTTATCTGGACCGGATTTTGCCACGACCACGTCTCTTCTCCTACCAAATTCAACCTGACTTAAAAAACCAGTACAGACGCTTTACTTGACCGATCGGACCACACGGTTACAGACTCAGCATCGTTTTGACATTTAATTGCTTGTAATGTATCGACACCGATACGCCGCCAGCACCGATCGATCGAGTCTTCCGTCAAGATCGACCAGAAGAAGCTGCGCCACGTGGCAGGCCACGACCGATTACGCCACGTCCTACCTGCCGTCAACGGTTCAAGCGGTGACGCGTGTTAATGCCTAGTCTATGGCTAATGCTCGGTGTCGTAGATTGTATCATGATTCCTGCCAAGAAAATACATGCTTCAACGAATGACGAAGCGGTACGTGAGACAAAATGATCTACGATTGACGTCGTCGCCCCTGTTCGCAACGGCAACTTCGTAATCGCCTACACGAGGCAATGACCCCATTGTCGTCCTCGGTTGCTCTGCAGCGCTGTCCGAGCACGCCTCGCAAACGATATCATTCTGCACCAAATGGTATAGGAGCTAGCTTCAGCATACCATCGATGAGCTGGCGCCGTGGAAATGAAATCCACGGCGCGTGATTCAAGTACTCTAACTTTGCATCTTATGCTCCATTCCGTGCGCACACGCTGTCGCACACCTTCACACTGGTTTTCCTCGTCACTTTTTATCTTCGTGTATACGTAATTTACGTACCGGCCATACCTGCAACGGGATACGGCAACAGAGCAGAATACACAGGCAAATGTTCGTTAGCTCGTGCAAGTGCACATTTGTCGCGATGATTTGTGTGACTACAACATGAAGAGTACTACATTATTCTAGCTTGGTTTATAGGCCTTCGTGATCCATAACGTGGAGCATATACGCCCTGCTTGTTTTTGATCTAGCCGCATGCAGTCCGGAGAAGTAGTGTTCGTGTCTTGTAACCTATCACAAAGTCCCAGTCGTGTCGTATATAGGGTGTGTAGTATTGACCTACGTTGGCGCGTAGTTCAATGCTCGACATCATAAACGTTGACGTCACCTCTACGGCTCTCGTGACGTTGTGCAAGCGCGAGCTACGTTAGAGCAGCAGTTTAGCACAACCTTAGGCGCACTCACGACAGTTGCTGAGAAATTAAGGCTTTGTCGGTGTTAGAGGAAGAGATTGATGCAGCGTGCCGAAGCTACGTGACCTGGATGTCGATCGACTATTCATCTCACCGCGATGCTCACGTGGTGACCTTGTCAGAGAGCCATTTCCCTAGCGGCCACTTTTTGTCCTTGTACTTGAATTACAAGCGGTCACTATGTCGTGATCGCTAGAATTTATTTTGATATCGCAACGTAGCATAGGGCGTGCAGGGTTGTGTGGGTGACGAGAGCCGAAGCAATCGAATCACTTCTAGAACAGTGCTATCTCCGATAGGCGATGTCCTCCACAACGTAATATCCTCCGGTCAGCTGTCATTTATGGCGTCCATCGACCTCGTCTAGAGGCGGCTAAGTTCGAAGCTAGATTTTGTGGCTAAAATTGCAAACTAGCGTTAAAGAACGAGGTGTATCACGATTTGCTCGCTTTTGCTTCTTGGGGTGCGTACATAAACGCAGCAAGTGTGTTGGCGCAGTCGGGTAGTGGCAAAATACTGTCGTTTTCGTCGTCAGTCAGCTCCAGATGAGAACCGTCACACCCTCCAATGAAATCAAGTAGCAGCTCCATAACCGACCCTAGGCAGTAAATGCGGATCCTTTCGAGCTTAACTTCTAACTCCTGCTCCAGCTCAACCTCCGCCGCCTTAGCCTCCTTCATTCTTCTTTCCTCTCCATCAGCATAGCAAGTAGACGAAAGGGTTCAGCAAAAGGATCTGCGGGATATTGGGGCAACTGGCAATCGTGGTGATTGAGATTTCGGTCCATTCTGCTACCGATAGAACTATGACAATAAGAGGTCGGTGGTGTCGGCGTTGTTGATCACCCGCGCTCGCCTCAATCGATCACACGATCACATGCTGTACAGGATGACGGTGGTGGAACTGCGTTTAAGCCGCGATGATATCGGCATTCGTCGTCTGAACCTTGGTCGTCGTATTTGATGGAAGGTGTTTACCCCATTTTTTCGGTAAACTCCAGGCCGTCTATAACGGGGCAGCCCGTTACATGGAATTGTCATTTTAAGAAACAATGACAATAAAGAATATTATGTTGAATATTCTTCGAACAATATCACCGATAGTGGTGATATTGAAGGGTCGACCAAAGAGTCTGCTCATCGGTTGATATCATGGTGATATCAACCCACCAATCGCCGCAAGACGCGCGCAATGAGTGGTGACGAGACGTCACCATACACTCAGTTAGATCAACATAATTAAGTCAGGTTAAACAGAGAGACATTAACAAAAGACTTAATTATATTAATACAACGGTTTTACTTTTCCCTTATCTACGCTTCCTCGCTTGCCTTGTGAAGGCCTGTCGGGGCATTTAAACCCTTGCGTTAAGTTCACGCAAGGGTGTGCCCCGTTACACCTGGTATCACTTTGTAGTCCTTCCAAGGACCACAACATCCAACATGAACATGTTGGATGATGAAGAGACCTTTCACGCCACGCGTGAAGGGTTTACCCATTTGAGTGACATCGAATGGGGTGCGGTAGAACGAATGAGTTCTACCGTAGGCGAGCTCGCCATTGGCGCCATGTTGGAGTCTCTAGACAGAGACCAACAACATGCCGCTATAGCCAAGTTTATCCAAAATGAACTTGTCGCCGAAAGGGAGAAAGTAGCCTTGCTTCACCAGCAAGGCTCTCAACAGGCCGAGCAGTTGGGAGAAATCGGTGCTCAACAGACAGAGCTGTTGAGACAGCAGCAATTCCATGCTGCTGTGGACGGGACGGCACATGCGCGTCGTCCCGAGGTCATGAAGGTTGACATCTCCAAGTACAGTGGAGTCCCGGAGGACTCCCTGTTACTGTAGTTTATCGAACTTGACAGAGCCTTAAGGGCTCTTCGCGTCGAAGATGAGCAAATGAAACTCACATTTGCTCAAACCCACTTGGCAGGACGTGCCAAAACTTGGTCCCTGGGGCTCGAGAGTAGCGACCCAAATGTGTTTAGGTCGCTAGGTGACTTCAAGTCCCGGCTCAGACAAACGTTTGAGTCGCCACGGGCTGAGTTCAGGGCTCGTTCTGAGCTCCTGAAATTCAAGCAGGGTAAGCGTGATGTGCACGCTTACGCACAACATGTACGACTCCTCGCGAGTAGTATAACTGCTAACCCAGTTCATGAACACACGTTGATTACGGTGTTCATGCAAGGGCTCGCGGAAGGGCCCGTCAGGAGCCATCTGTTCCGCCTAGAGCTGAATACGCTGAAAGATGCGATATCAGCCGCGGAACAGGAAGACTTTAGCATGAGACAGGCTCATGCTAGCTCAAAATCTTATCGTCCACCGAGACGACAAGAGATCGGAGGTCCAGAACCAATGGACCTCTGCTATGTTGAGAGCGAGAGACCTCGCTCTTCAAACAACAAGCGATTGCTGAAGTGAAATTGCTGTCAGAAGTTAGGGCACTCCGCATATGAGTGTAGTGCTCCACGCCCAGTACCAAACAGTACTGAGAGAAATGGACGACCGTTCGCCAAGAAGGGCAATGGGCGTGGGTCCAGCGCTGTTGCGAAGCCGCAACAGCGAAACGGACCATCAAAAAATGGACGGGGTCAGTAGGGGCGGAGCGCCCTACTGATCCAGCAACCTTAAGAGAATTTGAAAATCTCTTGACGAAAGTTGCTCCAGATACACAATCATTGTGTGCCTCTGCACCTGGTGATGACGTTTCGCTCATCACCTTGAAGTTGGAAGCGACAAATGATTTGTCGCTTCGTGCCCTACTAGACTGTGGGGCGTCGAACAACTTGTTCGTCGCCAGTCACTAGAGGGTCGTAGGATCAAGTTCGTTGAGCGCGACATTCCCCTCACGAGGATGACGGTGCGCCTTGCAACACGCGCATCAATTACCGTTAAGAAACGTGTAGTAGGAATCCACTACACGTTGGAGGGCGAACAGTACGATGATGAATTCATCGTACTGGATCTGGATGACAAATTTGATGTCATCCTGTAATTACCTCGGCTCAGAAAGTACGAGCCAAGGGTGGGCTGGTAGCATCGATCCGTGAAGATGCCTTCCACTTGTTCATCAGATGGCCATCTGATGAACGTCATGGAGCGTCCACAAGCGTGTGGGTGTACTGTGAGTGACTGCGATGGACTCACTAGCGGTACGGTCGTAAGCACAACTGCACAAGACCTCATTGTGGCTGATCACTACACTGTGTAGAAAATTTCCGGCGGCTTTACAGAAGAACAGACATCGCCGAATGTCCACCACTCAAATAAGTCGAGTGGGCCGGGACATGGATGCTTGCCTAGCGAGCAATATCCTAGTAAAAGCAAACCAGTTGTCCACAAACAACAACGAGATAATCCTAGGTTGACTGGAGAGTCGACCGTAGAGGATCGGTACCTGACTGTGGTTGCACAGCCACAGTCAGAAGACGTCGAGGGAATAATTTCCCACGTACTTGAGGAAGGAATTCCTCAAGAGTCACTTGCTGAAGGATTATGCCTTCAGCAACCTGTGGAAAGAAGTTACCAAGAAGTAGCCGAGACGTTGAACGTCTTGGTTAATGACGGATCAAGCGTAGGCGCTTATACGCTTGTTCTGATTGCGCCTCCGAAGTTAACTTCGGAGATAACTCAATTGCCTACGCTAGAACCGAAACGCTTCTTGCGTGATCTGC